AAGTCCCTCGGCCCTTAAAGAGGAAAGGTTGCCTACCCCTGCACTATACCATGTTGGCTTAGTTTGGGTAAGATTATGGATGGATGTGCCTTGGATTTTGTGGATCTCAATCCAGTCATCACTACATCTTAATAGCAATAGCAGTAGCATTTACATTTCTGTACCACTTCATACTGAACTGAGTAGTCTCTAAGCTCTCTTAAGCTCTTGCCTTGCCATCCCAGCCAACACCCACCCACACATCTATCATCCACTGGTGTGTACCCCCAACTGCTCTCCTTTTATTTTCCTCCCCAAGCCATGCTGACACCTTCAGTCTCAAAAAGAAACAGGAACTCTCTCCAAATCATCCTCCCATTTGTAGGTTTATCCTACTGCTTGTTTCCATGTTCTGTGCCTTCAAGTCGTTTCTGACTTATGAAGAGAATAGAATTTAAGGTATTTTAAATACCTGTATTTAACCTGCATTCTTACCTTGTTACCTAAGGCTGCTCTAGCGTGGGGTTTTCTTGGCAAGATTTATTCAGAGGAGGTTTGCCATTGTCTTGCCATAAGGCTCAGAGAGCGTGACTTGCCCAAGATGGGTTTCATAGCCGAGCGGGGACTCGAACCCTGGCCTCTCTAGGGAGGAATCCAACACTCAAACCACTTCAGCAATCCATAGACATATACTCTATTTCCCCCACAGTCTTTCTGTGTGCCTCAGCATCTTAAAGTGCTCACTATACACACACAAACACGCTCTCTCTCTCACATGCATGCTTTTTTATGTCCCCCTCACATGCCTTAGAGATGAATATTGTCCATATATAGTCTCCCTGCTATCATCCCTTGGATGCTGTTTTGTTCACACCCACATCGGCATATTTGTGTGATTTATTTTCCCCTCCTTTCCCCACATCATCAGTTAAGATTTTTGGTATTCCTTTAACACAAAGCTGCTTAGCTTCGCTACTCCATATTCTACTCACAATCTCCACTCTGAGATGCCCATGGCGTACCCCTAGATTATTGCAAATGAATATTAATACTATCTTTCTCTCCTTCCTTTGGAGGCTAATATTGGAATGCCTTCCTAGCATTTTCTGGGAATGGTGGGTCCCATGCTGGGAGAAGGGCAGGATGTAAATTAATTAATTAATTAATTCATTAAATATTCTCCCATTTACTCACTGTCAGCCTATAATGGAGTTACTTTTTTTCTTTCCTGCTCATTTTGCTCTGATAGGGAAGGGATGTTTTGTGGCTGAAAGGAACATAGACAGCTGTCTTAAACCACATGAGATTGCCTCTCCTTTCATCTCAATGTTGTTCCTCCAGGAAAAGGGTGAATAAGAAGCCTTTCAAATGTCACACAACTTCGATCAGCCCTAGTCAATTTATCTAATGTTGAAGGATGATGGGAGGTTCAGTCCAATAAGATCTGGAGGGTTGCTGTGTGCTTCTTGTCTTCCAGAGGTCTTTTTCTTTACCTGTTTTTATAAAGCTGAACCAGTGTCTTTTGTGTACAAAACATACACTTTGCCCCTGTCATCCTTCCTCTGTTCTGTCCTCTTTTTCCTACATTTTGAAAAGTCCTCAGCTTGGCCCAAATTTAAATGAGACCTGATACAGGTTTTCCAGAAAAGAACTGCTTTTGCTATTCTATTCTAAATAAAGCTTTGAATGTGTTTGAAAAGAAT